CTTGGTTAGCTAGCAATATCGGGGGTTATAGTTTGGTCCATATAATGGTTTAGGCTAAGCCAACAATGGTTTAGGATAGGCCCATCATATTTTTTTTATCTCATAAATACTGTAATATTAAAGTAAAAATAACTCAGTTCCTATATATAATCAATTAGGTAGCTATTTTTACTCCACCTAACAAGCCCCAGATCACAATCAAAATCTCTAATTTTAGTCTTTTTCATATTCTCACAAGAATACTGCTACAAAAAATTCCAAACCCATCCCACAGATTAATCATTTTCTAATATCAAGGACTCTATAATCCACATTGTCACTCCAAAAATCTATTTTACGGTCTTCATTTTGTTGGAAATGATTTAGTAAAATAGGTCAATTTTGAGCCCAAAATTCAGTGGGGACCCGTACCTTATTTTTAACGGGACCTAGCATATTCACGTTCTACTCCGCATGAGGATTAACGTGATATATTTATTTATNTATTGGAAATTGCCAAACTTTTGTCCCACATAGGAAAGTTAGAAAACTTTGGTGTGGTTTATATTGTACAAGTTTAAGAATTGGGTTTGGATCACAAGGGGTACCAATAGTTTTTAGAAGGGGGAGCTCTATATCCTATGGGATTCGGTCCAAACCTCACATGAGCTCTCCGTCGTCCGTCCGTCCGGCTCACGTGTTCGTGCACGGACTTGGGCTTTCGGTGCGTGTGTGTCCTTGTACTATATTATCTTTTTAGTCAAAATTTATTTAATTTGGACCAAATTGTAATTAATCAAATTCTTGGATATTTAATAAAATTATTAATAGGCTTATTTTAGGGTAATAATTTTGGATAGTCTGTTAACCGACTTTTAAACGAACCATGGTGTCTATTTGATTTTTTGGGGCATGTCTGAACAGTGGCGACTATTCTGAAAAGGCTTGAAGGATGTTCGAATGGCCACGGATGATTCTATAAATTGTCAGCCACACTGCCAAAATAATTACATCATTTTCACTGCAAATGTTCTCTACATTGAATCTCATTCTCCCTCTCTCTCGTTCTGATATTGTTTTTCCAAGTGAATACACTTCATTGAGTTCGTTGGAACTCCTGCAGATTGCTATGCTGCTTCCGTAGGAGACGAAATTCATTCTATCTTGGGAAACGATTGTTGGACGTCTTTAGTACCTTTGAAGGCAGCAAATTCGTTTTAAGAAAACATCGTGAAGTCGGTGGGCTCGAATTATTTTTTCTGATCCTATTATCATATTGTTACGCTGTGCTCATTTTATTAAGGTAATTCTGTCGGATTGTTTGAAGGATAAACTTATACTCCAGAATCAACACATTTTGGCGTGATTAGAGCTTTGTCTCAATATAAAACCATAATAGAAGGTGCAGTGACCATGATATGCACTCAAATCAATGTACAACTGGTGTTATACATATTGCAGTACATGATTTATATCGATTATGGCAACACCAACTCGTCAATCAAATTTGTGTTCCAATAAGAACAAGCAAAACACTATGTCAATTTGACCTTTTTTCGCTAAGCGTGATGAAGGGAAGGAAGAATGGGGATGTGGACAAGGCGTAGATGTCGACGGACACTTATTTAACTAGTATACGAAAGGTTGAGGAGCCTGCATAGCCTACACCAAGGGTGTTCGAATTTCGTTTTCTTTGTGGAATATTTTAGTGTCATTTGGACATGGATTTTATCATGTAGCTGATGGTTGTTAAATACCAAGTTATTTTTTCTAGTTGTTAAGTTCGTTAAATTGTGTATTCAATTAAGCCCCTGTTTGGTCCGAATTAAAATCTAATTTTAATTCAAGTCCAAGTCAAACAATTAATATTAACCACATTTTTCATGGGTCTTACAACTTTTCAACCACACATTTTAAAAACTTCTATCACAATCTACTAAAAATCAAATTTTAATATCCACCAAACA